GCCCGTCCTCTGCCCGGGCGTTGGCGCATTCGGAGTCGTGCGGTCGGCGGAGTCGGAGCCCAGCGGACGAGAGCGGTGAGTGTCCTGCCGCCTCCTCCGGCGGCCGCGGCCTCCCTCCGCGCGGGCTCCGGCCGCCGCCCCCTCGCCTCCCGCTTCCAGGGGTGGGGGGCGCCCCCCTTTCCCTGCGCTCCCCGGAGGTTGGGGACTCCGCCCCCTGTCCCTCCGCTCCCCGGAGGTTGGGGACGTCGCCCCTGTCCCTCCGCTCCCCGGAGGTTGGGGACGCCGCCCCTGTCCCTCCGCTCCCCGGAGGTTGGGGACGTCGCCCCCTGTCCCTCCGCTCCCCGGAGGTTGGGGAAGCCGCCCCTCTCTCCTGCCTGCTCCCCAAGCCTTTGGGGACCGCCTGCCCCGCTCGCTTCGTCCCCCGGCGGGAATCCCGCGCCCACTTCGTCAGCCCGCGTATTCCCCTTCCCTGCAAAGGAAATTGCCTCCTGGGTTTTCCCTTCTCTCGGGGCTGACACCTGCTTTAAAAAAAAAAAAAATCCCTTTAAGTTCCTACCGACTCCCGCTGTCACTGTCATGGGAAAGCTATTTGGGGGTTCCTTGTTGACGCGTTAGAGGACCCAGGCAGCAAATTAAAAAAAACGAGGGTTCAGTTGACACGACTCCTCCCTCCCCCGCCCGCGGTTGTCCCAGAGGCCGGTTGATAAAGCTGTTCCTAGTATTGGGCTTTAGCGGAACTGGAGCTGAGAGGTGGGACTGTCATGAATGTGAACAGAAAGCACCTAAAGTATCAGCAGCTTGAATATAAAGTATTTGCGTGTTTCTTTTGTTTCTCGGGACGGCAGATTGCTAAATGACTTGCTACTCAGGCACAGAAACGTGTTAAGAGATTCTAAGCGTGAAACTGGCCACTGGCGTCTGTCCCCGGTGACTGTTGGGGAAGGTGCGAGGGGCTTTTCCCGCGGTGGGGGTGGGGGTGGGGTGGGGGTGGGGCAAGGACCACGCGGCCTCTCTGTAACTCAGGGCAGGAACGCCTTTCGGGCTCTTGTTGCTCAGGTGATGATGAGTTTCGACCTGCACACACCGTATGCTTTCACAGTGTTTCAGGATTGTAACTTGAGGTCTTCTTGTCTTTGATAAATTTGGACCTGTGATGCTGATACATTTTTTACCCCTTGGATTTTGAAAGAAGTTGTTCAAAAATGTGCCTCCTGAGGAGAACAAATAGTGGCTAGGAAGGGAACTCACCCTTGACTCTATATTCAAAATTAAGACCTAACAGTGGGACCATTTTGCAGCATTTGCATCCTGCGGGTCTTTGCATTTTAAGAATAGATTTTTAAGAAGTTAGTAAATAGTTCCTATTCCTAAAGCTAGCAGCAAGTTAAAGGTAATTTATTTTCCTTTTAAAAAAGTTATTTATTTATTGGGATGACATTGGTTAGTGAGATTATATAGGTTTCAAGTGTACATTTCTATGATACATGAGCTGTTTATTTTACACAGTTTTATGAGTTATATGTTTAGTCATGGATGAATTCATGATATAACTTACTGATTTCTTTAGTCTAGACATATCTCTCATCAAACATATCTGTTGATCTTAGGGAAACAATTTGGTGCATAACCCTATTCCCCCTCCCTCAAGGCATTTAACAGTATACTCTTGGGATTATAATATATTTCTAAATACAAATAGGTGGATTTAAGCCTTGATTTATGACAAGGGTATTTTCAACATTTATTCCTTTTGCAGTCAAATTAAGTTGGCGGTAGTTACATCCCATAATATTTCTCTAAGGCAGTGCTTACTATACTAGATTCACAATTGAAAAAAGGGAATTGCAGTCATGAAGCTCTTAAACTACAAGATAAGGAATGACTTAAACCTTGTTCCATCCCTTCTATTTACTCCTGTAGAAAGCCACATACATTCTGAGTGTCAGAGTGGAAAAGAGACTATAAGAAGTCTTTATTTTATAGGTAATAATATATGTTCACTCTTAATTATTTCAGTTTTGTTAACCTAAAAAACAAAAAGCCAAAATGAGAGGCAATAAGCATTTATTTGGGATTCAATAGAATTGCAATTTGGGAAGCAGAAGCCCCAAAGTGACACCCCCCCCCCCCAACACACACACTCATACACACTACAGGAGAGAAGCTCAGGGATTTGAGGGGGCAGGGAGGAAGATGAGGCAAGTTGTATTAAAGAAGAGTTCATTGGTGCTGGATGAGATAAGGTTAGATTTGTACTTCATCGATTGGTTAGCAATTCAGTCATGGGCAAAGTCCATTTCCATCAGTCCTTACAGACAGGAGATGCCTTTTCCCACTGACTTCTTGTAATGCTGGAATGTAAAGTTTGGAAAATAAAGTAACACAGGACAGCAGGACAGTTCCTCTGAAGTGATTACTCTGACTCTACTCTAACATGTCCATTTGTGTCATCTTTCACAGCTTATTTGTAAAGGCAGAGCCTGTGTTGTAGCATCTCATGAAGTGGATACCTGTGGCACCATATGAAGTAAAAAGAATTGTAATAGAGCAAAATATTTTCTGCATGGGTGTCAGATCATCTTCCATTCACTTCTATAGTGGGCTCAAAGCACTTTTTATTCTTCTCTTAGTGCTAATTAAAATAGTTATTTATTATAGTTAGGAAAGTGATTTTCACTTAAGGCATTATGTTACCACATCTCTAAAGCTAAAGGGGAAAAATGTATTAACTTGCCAGAAAGAAAGAGTAAATATAAAAATACTGAATGACACTCAAAATACTACTTTAGCATAATTTTTTCTTTGCAGTGTAGTTACATGAGCGTACATACTGTAGGCAGTCACATATTAAAAGGTCTCTTTAGACCTGGCCAGTTTGGCTCAGTGGTTAGAGTGTCGGCCTGCAGACCAAAAGTTCTCGGGTTTGATTCCTGGTCAAGGGATATTACCTGTGTTGCAGATTTAATCCCCGGCCCTGGTCGATGGATGTGTCTCTATCACATCAATATTTCTGTCTTTCTCTCTCCTTCTTTCCCTCTCTCCCTTTCACTCTATCTAAAAAGCAATGGAAAAATATCTTTGGGTGAGAATTTTTTAAAAAGTCTCTTTAAATGTAAAGACCTTCAACTCTTTCTAATTGGACTGCAAGAGGGCAGTATACAGACTACCTAGAAAACTGAATTGTAACTAGACAGTTGGGCAGAAAGTGTAGACTTAGCTCAGTAACTTGCTTTTGTCTTATGACTAGCACTTTGATGCATTCTGTACAACTAAATAACAAATACTAATTTCTCGAAGTGATTTTACTTTAAAAAAAAAAAAAAGTGGTTAAAGATCCAAAAGATAAATATACCTAGAATTGTCAAAGGTATATAAAATGGTCTCTCAAACTTACTCTGCTTTTGGGAGTGGGGATTAAAAAGTCTTTGATACGTATTAGATAGCTAGAATTATCTATCATAAACCTTAGAAAGTTACATGCCCTTTCACCTAATAATTCTACTTCTAGGAGATTTACCTAAGGAAGTAATTGGGCACAAAAAATGTGTATGGGAAGAAAAATAGCAAAGGATATAGACCCTAAATGTAGCATAACAGTGTCATATGTCCTCAGGTTTGGATGGTATAATGGGGGTCTTCTACCCCATCCTGGAGCACCGGTTTAGTGACTAGTTTTGTGTTGGCTCCTGTCTTGCCATCCCTTCCTGCCTCTCAGCCTGTACTGAGTCTTCCCTAGGAATCCTCATTAGCTATAACAAGGCTTTGGGAGTTAGTTTGTTTCTTTATCCTCATGCAAGGATATGTTTATTGATTTTAGAGAGCAGAAGGGGGAGAGAAAGAGACAGAAACATCAGTTGGTTGCCTCCCGTGTGCACCCCAACCAGGGACCAGGACGAACCTGCAACCTAGGTCTTCCCAACTGGGAATCGAAGCCAAGACCATTGGGTGTACAGGATGACATTGCAACCAACAGCCACACTGGCCAAGGCATGGGAGCCATTTTTAACTTTTCGAAAATAGTATGTCAGAAGTAAAACAAAATGTCAAGTTTTCTCCAGCATAATAACGCTGGACAGGTCATGTTTTGTAGATGCTGTGGTAAGCACTTTAGTGTAATAAATATAAAGGGAAAGAAATTTTAAATGCAGCTTTATAGACAAATTTGTCATAACAGAAAGAGCCAAACATGGTATAGTACAAAGTGCACAGGCCTTGGGGCCAGGTAGGCTTGGGTTCTGATCCCAGTTCTGTTACTTATTAACTGAGTAGTCCTCTGCAAGTTACTTCACCTTTTTCAGTTCTATAGTTTCCACTTTGCTAAAGGGGAGGTGGCAATAAAATTGTTACATAAAATTACTATATAGAGCTGCGCAAAACAGTAACTCCTTCCTTCCAGGCACAGTTCTAAGTGCTTCACATATTAGCACATTTAATCCTCACTAATTCACCTTTGGCTGTGCTGCCTCTCCAGCTAGAACATCCTTTGCAGATGCTCATCAGGTGGTACACAAAATCTTTCTGAGAAGAAAGAAAAGATATCCGTAGTGATTAAAAAAAAAAAGAGTATTACTCTCTTAACCTACTAGGACAGTGGTTCTCAACCTTCCTAATGCCACAACCCTTGAATACAGTTCCTCATGTTGTATGTGGGCGGACCCGCCTGGAGACAGAGGAGCAGTGTCCCGCTTCCTAAGACCATTGGAAATAGGCAACCCCGGTGAAAGGATCCTTTGACCCCCCCAGGTTGAGAACCGCTGTACTAGGGGGATGAGTGTTCATATTGACTCAAAGCTTACATTCTGTTTCTAGAACTGTATCTGGCACATACTAGGTCTACTTATCTGCTGCAAAGACATAGTTACATAGGCCACGAATTGCTTTTAGACATTTGTTTCTCACTCAATAATGTCATATGATTTAGAATTTGAGGGCTTCCCACCTACTCATGAGAGCAGTAGTTTTCCATAGGCAAATGAAACCTCACTTTTTTTTCCTGTCAGATAAAGAAACATAGTCACTTGACATGACTGAAGGCAGAAGGACATACAGATACACTTTTTCAATCCTATTTCTACATAATACAAGTCTCCACACTGAACATTTGGAAATACTCATGGAATTTGAGATCTAGGAGAAGAAACCAAGATCCTCATGGTTAAGTTGCACCAAGTCGCATGTAATAGCTGCACGTCATCTAATCCCTTGGGTATTGTTCTTCCTTGCACTGCCTGCTGGTCCTACTGTTCTCTTATGCTCCAGATACTTGAGGGAACCTCAGCAGCATAATTAAGTTCTTATGCTGAGTACTAAGGATGTGAAAATTTAAACTTTTTAAAAATTAATTAATTAATTAATTTTTGTTACAGATGTTTCTTCTTTTTCCCCCCCAGACACCCTCCTCCCGATCCCGCCCCTCCCCCCTCCCCAGCATTGTTGTCTATGTCCTTTGTTTATACATCCATGCATATAAGTTCTTTGGTTTATCCCATCCCTCCCCTCCGCCCCCCTCCTTTGAGGTTTGTCAGTCTGAATCATACTCTTTTCTATGTCTCTGGGTCTGTTTTGTTCATCAGCTTATTTTATTCATTATATTCCACAAATAAGTGAGATCATGTGGTATTTGTCTTTCTCTGATTGGCTTATTTCACCTAGCATGACACTCTCCAGGTTCCTCCATGCTGTCTCAATGGATACGAGATCTTCTTTTATTATTATTATTATTATTAATTTATTTTTTGGTACATGCTCCTAGTGGGAACCGAACCCGGGACTCTCTGGGGTCCACAGGCCGAGGCTCCAACCGCTGAGCCAAACCAGCCAGGGCAGATCTTTCTTTCTTGCAGCTGCATAGTATTCCATTGTGTGTACGTACCACAGCTTTTTTATCCAATCATCTACTGACAGGCACTTGGGCTGTTTCCAGATCTTAGCTATTGTAAATAGTGCTGCTATGAACGAGAATTAAACTCTTGACTTAAGTCACAGGAAACAGATATTTAAACAGATAATTATGCTATAGCTAAGTATTTTAATTGAGGTAATTTCTTTTAATTTTACATTCTCTCTACCTACTAGATCATGAACTCCTTAACTTATAAAATAGTATGAAATAAAGCTCAATAAACATTGAAAGTTTTCCATAAATAATATTGATGCAGCTTATCTATATCAACTAAGAGGTGACCTGCATAGATAAGTTATGATGTATATGTATATAAAGGCATTTTTTCCTTGCTGTTTCTGCAGAGCAGTTGATAATCTCGTGACTATGAGTCTGCTAAACTGTGAAAACAGCTGTGCCTCCAGCCAGTCCGAAAGTGACTGCTGCGCTGCCATGGCCAGCTCCTGTGGTGCTGCCGCAAAAGATGACAGCGTGAGCGCCACTGCCGGCACAGGGAACCTCTCCAGCTCTTTTCTGGAAGACGTCCAGGGGTACGACGTGGAGTTCGACCCCCCCCTGGAAAGCAAGTATGAATGCCCCATCTGCTTGATGGCATTACGGGAGGCAGTGCAGACACCCTGCGGCCATAGGTTCTGCAAGGCCTGCATCATCAAATCAATAAGGTACGTGAGCATAAGGAAAACTGCCATAGCACAGAACCAGACAGAGCCATATTACAGAGCACAGGACATCCCCAGAGTAGTCTCACATGTAAACCTACTCAAGGAAAAAGAACGCTGGACAGAAACTTTTGAGATACCTGCATTCTTATCCTAGTTCCTACTGTGGTATGAAAGGTAGTTTCTATCTCCTACCTTCCTCTGACCCTCAGATAAATCATAAGTAAGTTCTCTCTATATGCTTTAAGAAAATAATATAAAATAAATATACCTTAGCCTTGGTCGGTGTGGCTTAGTTGGTTGAATGTCGTCCCATGCACCAAAAGGTCGCCGGTTCAGTTCTGGGTCAGGGCACATGCCCAAGTTGCAGGTTCGATGCCCAGGTTGCAGGTTTGATGCCCAGGTTGGGGTGCATACAGGTGACATCTGATCCATGTTTCTCCTGGCTGGTGTTGCTCATGGTTAGAGCATCAGCCCACACACTGAAGGGTCACGGGTTTGATTTCCAATCAAAGGCACATGCCTGGGTTGCAGGTTTGATCTCTCGCCCCAGTTAGGGGGCGTGTGTGGGAGGAAACCAGTCTCTCATATTGATGTCTCTCTCCCTTCCCACCCCCCCAACTCCCCCGGGATTGGGCCACACCCGGGCATGTGCCCTGACCAGGAATCAAACCAGCAAACCAGCGACCTCTTGGTACATGGGTCAATGCTCAATCACTGGGCCACACTAGCCAGGCTGTTGCGAGAGTTTTATTTATTTTTCTTAATTTATCTGGGTTGATAACTGATCAACTCTTTACTAGTAATCTGTCCAGATTTTCTGTTTTTCATAGTTCATATGTACCATATTATGGATTGTTGAATTTTTTGTTGATAGAGAGATGTACAGTATTTTACCAAGTGTCATCATGCCCAGGAAGGTAGCTAATCTTTAGCAGTTTTTTAACAGCAAGATATTCATGAATATAATTGACAGTGGTTTGAAAAGGAAGTAAAACCCACAAAAGGAAGTCTGAGGCCTTTTTTTTCCCCTATTTCCCTCTCAGCTAGAAATTACCAGTTACTTTGAGTCTAATGCTCTTAAAAGAATGTCTGAAATTTCTCAGCCATTAATTATCATTCAGGAAATCAAAATACATGTTAATCCACTTCTATTTGCTGTGGATAATGGTTTCCAGTTTACGTGTAAGTTTCTTTTTATTTTCTTAGACATCCATCACTTAGGTTTTGTGTATCTATTTTAGTAAAATTGTTTATAGTTTTCTAGGCTTCTCATAAAATGCTTGACAGTGTGCTAATACCATTAGTCTGAGAGAAACCCCATTAAAGATCGGCTATGTTATTAGTCCTGGAAGCACTTGACAGCAGACCCCATTCTCAGCCCCTTTTTACCTCCCACAGCAGCTGCCACTGTTGGCTTGCACACAGGAGGTGACCTGAGTGAGTGATGAATGCTTCTGTAGCCTACCTGACCAGCCACATTTTGTGAGTGAAGATTGAGACATCCCAAAAAGTTAAAGGGAAGTGACAGACAACCAGACTTCCAGGGGATGATTTTTCCCATCATAAGATGAAATAACCACTGGGAAACCACTGGGCAGCAGGAAATAGAGGTCCTTTAACTCCCTACTAAATTGTACCCTAGATATAAAAGTAAAGGAACACTTTTGTTGCTCATGAGCCAGAGTGTTATAATGACTGTTCAGAGTAAACCTTAAATCGTGGAGTCCTTGTGGGAGTATTGCTAATTGGTTTAATTTTTACTTATGGCTGAGGATACACTAGAATGTTACTGGTACTGCGAGCAACGTATTTGGTTTATCTCACGAGCGTGTTGTATAGCTGCGGGCAGAACAGAAGCCTGCCAGACTGCAAAATCCATGTCCTCAGCTTTCACTTCATTTAGTGACAATCAAAATATGACTTTACTTAATTTTTCTTATTTTTTTAGTTGAAATCTATCCCACAATCTAAAATCTCATTTTTTTATAAGTAACCGGTATGTTGCTAATTGTATTCATGGCCGGCTGGTGTGGCGCTGTGGATTGAGTGTCGTCCCCTGGACTGAGAAGTCCCAGTTCAATTTCCTGTCAGGGCACATGCCCGGGTTTCAGGCTCGATCCCCAGTAGGGGGCATGCAGGAGGCAGCCAATCAACATTTCTCACATCAATGTTTCTGTATCTCTCCCTTCCTCTCTCTCTAAAAAAATCATTAAAAACATTTTTTTAAAAAAGAACAGTTCATGCCCTGGCCAGTTTGGCTCAGTGGTTAGAGCGTCGGCCTGCGGTCCAGAGAGACCTGGGTTCGGTTCCCACTAAGGGCGAGTGCCTCGTTTGCAGTTTGTCCCCGGTCCTGGTTGGGTCGTGTGGGTGGCATGTGTCACTCCATGTGTCCCTTTCACGTCGTCACATCGATGTCTCTCTCTCTCTCTCTCTCTCTTCCACTCTATCTGAACAAATTATTGAAAAATGTCCTCGGGTGAGGATAAAAAAAAAAACAGTTCATGAAATTTCCATGAAAGGACAGGTTTTGGTTTTTTAAGTTTTGGGGGGATTTTGCAGTATAATGTGTTAAATTACTTTCCATAGGAAATAATGAATGGGGTATTTATATATGGTGAATCGAAGTTGTTTGTATTTTTTTGTGTTAATGCTTGTTTAAATCTACTAAATGTATGTATCTTATTTGTTTATTTTAGGGATGCAGGTCACAAATGTCCAGTTGATAATGAAATACTGCTGGAAACTCAACTGTTTCCTGACAATTTTGCAAAACGAGAGATTCTTTCTCTGACGGTGAAGTGTCCTAATGAAGGTTGTTTGCACAAGATGGAACTGAGGCATCTTGAGGTATTAAAGCTATTTTCTAGCCATTCGCATATATACAAGGCAGTTTCTATAGAATAGAGACTTTGTTGTGTATTGCCAGTGCCTAGCAGAAAATAAGTGCTTAGTAAGATATCAACCCTTTCATGATTGGATATAAATATAAGTAGAAAACAGAAATTTCTTATTCCATCTACTCTGGCTTTGCCAAATGATAATAAAGAAATCAGTATTCTTTAAGTTTTGGGGGTGAACATTATTTTCTATAAAACTGAAGAGCATTTTAAATACAAATGTCACATGTTAATTCCATAACTTCACTTCTCTCAATTTTTTTTTTTAATCTTCACCCTAGGATATTAGGGAGGGAGAGGGAGAGAAAGAGAGAGCGACACATTCACGTGAGAGGGAAACAGCGATTGGTGGCCTCCTATATGTGCCCTGACAGGGGATCGAACCCACAACCTAGGTATGTGCCCTGACCGGGAAATCAAACTTGAAGTCTTTTGATGTATGGAATGATGCTCCAACCAACTGAGCCACCTGGCCAGGGCTATTTCTCTCATTTTGAAATAAGCAACAAGTCTCATGTAGCCATCATCTTAGTACCCTCATACTTTTTTCTTTTTTTCTAAATTGTGCATTTTATTATGAACTAAATTGTGTCTTTCTATAACTTGAGATGAACTGAAGCAATTGGGAAAGAATTCGTTTTTAAATTAAATTCATTTTTAACTTGGTTTTATGAGATATTAAATATTGTTTATAATCTATTCAAAATTAAGTGTTTAAAACATATTTGCAACTTGCCCCTTTTACTTAGCTCCCTGTGAAGGAGTAGCTGCTTTGAGAGAGAACATTATATTCTCAGAAGAGATTATATTTAGGAGATTTCTTAAGGATGGTCAGAGACTAATCGATTATTTTTTTCCTTATTATAGGATCATCAAGCACATTGTGAATTTGCTCTTGTGAATTGTCCCCAGTGCCAACGTCCATTCCAAAAGTGCCAACTTAATATTCACATTCTCAAGGAGTGTCCAAGGAGACAGGTTTCCTGTTTAAACTGTGCTATGTCAATGGCGTTTGAAGATAAAGAGGCATGTACTACTTGGATTTTTTAATTCCACTATTTCATTACCTTTTTTTAATGTGCTTTTGAGGGGCTTTGCAGTAGATGGGATGTTATTTCTATTCTGAGTCTATGTTCTCAGTTGTAGGAAGATTGCTTTTTAAGAAGGTAAGTTCAGAACCCATTTTAGTAAATAAGTGTAGGATTTATATATCTATGTCTTTCTTAGAAAACATTGTTTATACTATTTCCCACCATAGTAGATTTGCAGGTAACAAAACCCTCCAGGAAAGACATGATGATCTGTGACATTTTGATGACCAGTCTTGGATTAGAGACAAGTAGAATGATTACTGTATAAGACTTTTGCTTTACTCTTTGAAAAAGAGAATGGGTTGTTAAAACTTTTATGGAGAATAAATAAAATCCCACAACGTGTGTTTTTCTGGTGATAAATCACTGATCTATACATATAATGAATTCACTTTTCTAGAAATATATTGCACTTCAATTAAAATGTTTATCTTTCAAAAGAAACTTCATGGCCCATGACAACATCATGATGATAGAGCAGTTTTTTCATTCAGAAACTGAGATGTAAAGAAGTTAAGTAATTATATATTAATATTGCAGTGGCAAAGCTAGCACCGAGATCCTAGTCCTGGGTCCCCATCCTGTGTCCTCTCCACTAAAATAACCTACATATAACTTATACTCTTCTATAACTATGAACACACTTCCTTAAACTTTACTTCTTATAAGTTTATCTTGGTAATTTTCCCTACTTTTCTTGTGACATCAAGCATATTATACTCATTAAGTTGATGAAATATTTTAAAAAATTCAGCTGACTTGCTAAAAATTAGGAGAAGGCTAAGGCATAATTAGAACAAATTGATATTTTCCTAAACTTAAATAGACGTAACCTGAAGGGTTAGTTATTTCTTAAATTCATTGTATTTTAGAAAACAAGGCTTACCCTTCCAGGGCCCATGAGAACCTAGGCACCAAAGCCTCTGCTCTAATAATGCTTCTGTTCTTTAACCCTCCTGACACGAGTTTTAATTAAATCATCATACTGCTGCTGGAAATTTTTGGAAGAATGCCTTTGGAGAATTACAGTATTGGTAAATGATGTCCAAGCTAGTCACAGATGCTCTGCCTCAGGTTAAAAGGAGTAATTTAAAAGATTCACTACTCTGTTCTTTTAAAGACATGAAATGCAAGATGTATCTCATTACTATACAGGCAGAGAGAGAAAATAATCTTTCTATATATTCCTCATTTTTTTAACACACATCAATATCCTTAATTTGCTTATAGTGAAAAAATTACTTTTATAAAAATAGGTTGTTTTTCCTTTTTCAAGTTTTTTCATGCTTTTCTTATATTTCTCTAACAAAATTTAGATCCATGACCAGAACTGTCCTTTGGCAAATGTCATCTGTGAATACTGCAATACCATGCTCATCAGAGAACAGGTACAGTGATTCTCTTTCATCAATTAATATTTCCATAAACAGACTAACGGCGTGAGTTAGGTTTTTAATTACATCAATAAGGCAGAATGAATACAGGTTGGAGAAGTATTAGGAGTATGAGAAATTCTCATATAAATTAATATAATAAATACTTTCAGAAAGAACAAAATACTCAGCCCTCTCTAAGTACATAAAGTCATTGACCTAAATACCCATGTTTATCTGTATTTATAGAAGTTCCAGACAAAACCAGGTATTTTGAAGATACAAATAATGTCCCCATTTAAAGAAAACAACACCTTAAGAAATACATATTTACACACTGTGAAATAAGGATCTTGGGTATCCAGAAACTCGCTGAAAGAACAGTGGAGTGGAAGAAAGCAAGGCTGTTCAGTGGCGGAGCATTACTTGTCCCCAAGGCCCCTGAGACGTATGAGAGATCTGAGGCTTCAGAATCTGTAGCCCCCTCTGCGCAGTTGTCCTGTAGACCACTGACGAGGCGGCAGAAGCAGCAGTGGTTACAGTAGAAGACTATACATGCGCGTTATTAATAGAGATAGGAAAATTCCATCTGATTGCTGTCTTCTGACATTTGGGGAATCTGCCCACAAAATTTGAATATTAGTCACTATATATACACCCATGAACTCTTCAAACTCAAAGATCGTAATTGATTATCTTAGTAACTAGAAGCAAGCAAAGCCTGTCACTCGACTAAACTTTTCCATTTGTCTTAACAGAGCCCTGTAGTTTTTCTCTAACAAAGTCTTCATTTGAAAGTGTTAAACGTTTTTGCTTATGAAGTCTTACCTCCCTGGTTTTTCTTTTTGCTCTGCTCTAATGTTTAAAGGGAACCATGCAGCACATCTAAAACCCAGAAAAAGTAAAACTTAATGTAGGGAAAAAATCCCGCAGAGCCCTGGCCGGTTTGGCTCAATGGTTAGAGTGTCAGCCTGCGGTCCAGAGAGAGCTGGGTTCGGTTCCCACTAAGGGCACGTACCTTGGTTGCAGTTTGTCCCGGCCCTGGTTGGGTCATGCGGGTGGCAGCCACTCGATGTGTCCCTTTCACATCGATGTTTCTCTCTCCCTCTCTCCCTCCCTCCCACTCTATCTGAACAAAAAATGGAAAAATTTCCTTGGGTGAGGATAAAAAAAAAAAAAAAAAAATCCCACAGAAAACCCAGGTTTTGACCCTGGTTGTGCCTCTGACTTGCCACTGATCTCTGACAAGAAAGTCGAGATTCTTGATAAGGGATCAACAAACCAGCCTGCCAGTCAACTCTGGCAGGCTGCCTGTTCTTAGTAACAAGTTTTATTGGAATACAGCCACGCCCATGTGTCAGCATGTGGGAGATGGCTGGTTCTCTACCACAGTGGTAGAGCTGAGTACCTGGGACAGAGACCTTGGGCCTACAAAGCTGAAAATATTCACCGTCTGACCCTTTACAAAATATTTTGCTGTCTGCTGTTCTGGATTATGCCTAATTGAAGGATTAGGTTAAATGGTTTCTATTGTCGTTTCTGCTTGAAATACCTATTTGTGTAGCTAACCTAAGTTGTTGAAGGGAGTTCAGTGTCAGTTTCAAAGAATATGATTCTCCGTAATGGAGAACCTTAACGACTGTTTTAGATCCCCAAATCAAAAGCCGAGGCATTTCTTTTTTTTTTTAATTATTTTTCTTTCTCTGTTTTTAGAGCGAGATAAAGGGAGAGGGAGAGAGGGATAGAAACATCGATGAGAGAGAACATTGATTGGCTGCTTCCTGCATGCCCCATACTGGGGGTTTGGCCTACAACCTGGGCATGTGCCCTGACCAGGAATCGAACTGGCGACCTTTTGGTGCATGTGTCAGTGCTCAACCACTGAACCACATTGGCTGGGCAAAGCCGAGACATTCATTCTTTAGAACTTATCATTAATGTGCTTAAAATACCTTCTAACTTCTGAGTCTCCCCATTGTAGCCCAAACATGCCTGGGTTAACAAAAGGAAAGATATATGAAAGATGGCCGTGAGGGAAGTACTGGAAGTACTGGGTGCAGTCGGTGTATACAGTTGACTGGTCCCTATTAAATGGCCCAGACCACAGTGAGAGCCCTGGTTCAGTTTGCAGTTGAGGTTGACATTAGAAGGTGCTTTGTCTTTAAAATGCCACTAGAGGGTTCCACTTCCCGGCAGTAGGAACAAATGCATTTTCTTGAATTTTGAGTGATTTTGGGGATGGTCTGAGATATTGATATTTCCTTTCTCTGTGACTTTTGGAAGTAAACATTTTAATCTTTGGGCTACATGGTTTCTGTTGCAACTCTTAAAGAGAGACAGCCATAGACAATATGTGATTTTGTTTAGATGAAATGTAAATCTTTTTTCAAATGTGATCTCATCAAACTAGAACATGATATGCAAGGAAAAACATTTTTCCACCTTTGTTTTGGTTTTCAGATGCCTAATCATTTTGATTTAGACTGTCCTACCGCCCCGATTCCATGCACATTCAGTTCTTTTGGTTGCCATGAAAAGGTAAGGTATTTCTTTTTTCTTCTTTTAATTCTTGAATATAGATCAAGAAAATTCAGTTATATAGTGCAGTGGAAAATACCAGTGAGAATGGAGGTGTCTGACGTGCATTGCATATAGTCTTAAGCTCCAGAGAGAAATTGGGACTCAGAATATTGATTTAGGGAAGTAGTTAGTGATGAATGGAAGGGGTGTAATTGAGGTGATCACATAGAGCGAGTGTGCACAGGAAAGAGAAGTCGACCAGGAAGGAGCTGAGGTGAGCAGTCCTAGATCAGTGGACCAGGCAAGGAGAAGATATTGTTGTAGTCTCCAAAGTTAGTATCAGGACTAGGGGTCACTGTGTCAAATCTCTGAGATACATCAATTTTATGGAAAGTCATTTTTTCTGGAGAGTACAGCTATACTTTTGCTTTTCCATTATGTTTTGTTTTATTTTTCAATCCTCACCTGAGGATTTTTTTTTTTTTGGTGGTACATGCCCCTAGCAGAAACCGAACCCGGGACTCTCTGGTCCACAGGCCAACGCTGAGCCAAACTGGCCAGGGCTCCTGAGGATATTTTCCCACTGATTTTCAGATAGAGGGGGAGAGAGAGAGAGAAACATGGATGTGAGAGAGACACATCAATTGGTGGCTTCCCGCACAACCCCAACTGAGGTTTGTGCCCTTGACTGGAATTGAACCTGTGACTCTGGTCTATGGGCAGATGCTCTACCACTGAGCCAAACCAACCAGGGCTCCATTATGTTTTTTATCTGACATTTTTGCAATAAGCATGCATTTAATAATTTTTAAAAAATAAAAGCAAATTGTATATAGCATGATTTTATTTTGTGTGCAAATCCTGTATTTGTGTGCATAGAGAAAAAGACTTGAGGAAATGTATCAAAATGTTAACAATAGCCAAGTGAGATAATAGGTAACTTATTTTCTTTTTGATCATCTACATTTTCCATTTTTTAATAACATACACAAATTATTCCTACATAAAAATTGTTATATCAGGAATTTTTCTTTCATATAACAATTGCAGTATTCTTGATGAGTCTAATTTGCAACAGATTAGTATAGTAAGTGAGTGACTGGGGACAGTGCAGGTGGACTACTCTTGGTTATGAAAGAAGAGGGATCAAATGGTGTTAGCTAGAGGGAGACACAAGATCAGTAGAGAGGTTTGCCCTTTTTTTAACGGGAAAGACTTTAATCACTATATGCTGAGGGAAAGTGGTCAGGGGAGAGAATGTTTGAGGAGAAAGGGAATAACTGAGCAACACCTCTGAGGTTTTATAGGGCCAGGTGCCACCTAAGAGCCCCGATGAGGAGGAAAATCATCTCTGAGTCAGAAAGAAGGATGGGTGTCTTTCCTGATACTTTTGTAAGTGGGAGGCAGGTTTATCTGAGTGAAAGATGGGAGCATACTCAACAGAGAACCTCAGTTTTTCAGCAAGTTAAGAAGCAAGATTATCTCATAGTGAGGCAGGATAGTAAGAAGCTAGAGAAATTTCTTGACAAATGGAATAAGGGAAACTGAGGCAAAGTATTTAGACAAGACCAAATCATCTGAGCAATTTACAGCCAGGTAATAGATCACAAGGTTTTATCTTCCTCAAGCAGGGACACTTAGGAGCAAATGGTCTGCACATTCCAGACCGTCTTGGGGCAGACCTGCCTCAGTCCCAGACCCTCTTCAATTAACATTCATAAAACTAACCAGAAAATAACCCTGGCCCTTTTACACACACATTTTGAAGGACACATCTGAAGAGCTAATGAATATTCTATTGAGACCCTCCCCAGAGACCTCCGCCAGGATGGCAGTGGCCAAAGAGATCAAAAAGCCTCAAGACAAAGGGTCCATGGTGCGCTCTCCTCCCGAGAGCACACCCACACCTTTCCCTCCAGGACTTCCTCCCCGGGCATGCATCCTAATCTCTGGGGGACCCCACGAGACTTCCAGCCAGGGGAGCAGTGGGCAGCAGCGGCTCGTCCCAGGCTTACCCCTTGAACCTGTCTCCGGGGCCCCGTTTTTCTCTGACTTACAGTAAGCTCACTTGTGTCACTGACTTAAATTTCTCAGGGCTACAGCAGCCCGCCTAGGCGCTCTCCGGTTGCTCCTTCTGCCTGAAGCCCTTCTTTCCTGTCATGGTCCCCAGCTGTAGGAAACGTAACCACCCACCCTGTGCTCTCACAAGAGCACGCCCACGCCGTGTATCTTCGCTGTTTTTCTCTGGAACTCCAAGGGACCCCACGAGGCTCGCCAGCAAGGAGCAGCGGCAGCTGCAGCTCTACCTGGGCTCATCCCCTGAACCCAGCTTCAAGGCCGCTTTGCTCTGACTTCTCTCCTGTGGCTTCTCCTACCTTAAGCCCTCCCATTGTTTTACACCCCCCCCCCCAGCTTTAATAAACATACTCTCAGAAACACCTACACTCGTGTTGTGCAGTCGTTCCTACATGAAGTCAGGAACCCACACACTCCTGGCAGTCCTAGACAGACCCGCCCAGGCCCAGACCCTGTCCACTGACAAAGGGATCAAGAACCTGATGGAAACCAAGAAGGCTGTAGGGAATTAAGGGAAATGGTGCTGTTACTTAAAAACCTTTATAGGTCCCTTTCCTAGTCCTGTCATTATCCATCCACAACCTAAGGCTTGTGCTTGATTTTTAGATGCAGAGGAATCACTTGGCACGCCACCTACAAGAGAATACCCAGTCACACATGAGAATGCTGGCCCAGGCTGTTCAGAGTTTAAACCTTGCTGTAGCACCCATGCCTCAACGTGATATCCTACCGTATGACTCTGCCCCTCTGTCCCGGGTCTCCTCTGGGTGTCACTCCGAGGTCCAGAATTTCCAAGAAACCATTCAGCAGTTAGAAGGTCGCCTTGTAAGGCAAGACCATCAAATCCGGGAGCTGACTGCGAAAATGGAAACTCAGAGCATGTATGTGAGTGAGCTCAAGCGAACTATTCGAACCCTTGAGGACAAAGTTGCTGACATGGAAGGACAGCAGTGCAATGGGATTTACATCTGGAAGATTAGTAACTTCGGGATGTACTTGAAATCTCAAGAAGAGGAGAAACCCGTTGTCATTCACAGCCCTGGATTCTACACAGGCAGACCCGGCTACAAACTGTGCATGCGCCTGCACCTTCAGCTGCCCTCCGCTCAGCGCTGCGCGAACTACATCTCCCTCTTCGTGCACACGATGCAGGGAGAGCATGACAGCCACCTCCCTTGGCCCTTCCAGGGCACGATACGCCTCACAATTCTCGATCAGTCCGAAGCACCTGTAAGGCAGAACCATGAGGAGATCATGGATGCCAAACCAGAGCTGCTTGCCTTCCAGAGACCCACAATCCCGCGGAACCCGAAGGGCTTTGGCTATGTGACTTTCATGCATCTGGAAGCCCTAAGACAAAGAACCTTCATTAAGGATGATACCTTGCTAGTACGCTGTGAGGTCACTACTCGCTTCGACATGGGCAGTCTTCGGAGGGAGGGTTTCCAGCCGCGGAGTACTGATGCGGGGGTGTAGCTCCCCGCGAGGGTTTTTTCTTTTTTTTAAAGGCGTCTGGAGAAAACGGTGCCTTTCCTTGCGCTGTTCTCACAATACTACATAAACAAAACAACGCCGCGGGAAAGATGGGAGCCCCACCGGTGAGTGTGGTGAGAGGGGCCACCTGCCACTTGTGCCTGTTACAGGTCCCTAAAGCAGTTTTTCCTGGGTCTCCATGCTTTTCAGGACTGTTCCGACGGAAGTTCCTGTGGCACGTCGCAGCAGCTGCTTGTCAGCTAATATACCTCTTCGCTGTACTCCGTGGCCTTTCTCCAGAATGCCCTACTGCCGGAAGCCCAGGGTTGGGGTAGTGACGCTCAAACCTTTTAATAATAATGGACGCTCCATAAAACTTCAGCTTATTTTTATAGTATTATATGTAATATATTAAACTTGAGAATCACTACAGCGTTGTGCTGGTGCAAGCGAGGAGTTACTGGTATAAAGTTGAGTTCTCATTGTGTTTGACCTCCAATAGATATCAGAGGATTTGAACTGTAATCCTTGGAAAGCTTAAGTTCTCATTCACCCCATTTCTCCCTGGGGTGTTCCTAAGGACATTCGGGGATATTTAAACCCTGAATATTACCTTACCTGTTTAGTGTGAACATGTTGTCTGTTGAATAAGTCTTGTTAGTTCAAGTGTTTTCTTCTACCTTCCCTACATATTTCTTTGAGACCACAAAGAAAGTAGCGTCTTCAGAGTTTAGAATGTCATAGTCGTGTGGATACCAACTGCTCGGTGTTGTGCTGTGAATCCCTGTGTCTGCTCAGAGCAGAGTGGGGTCCACAGCCCTGCCTGTGTCTTGTGACACTGAGTGCTTGTTGGACAAGGACAGGCACAGAACTACCAGCATAAAAGGTAGAGACGGCTCGACTGCTCGGCTAAGTGGCTTCTCAGTGATGGGGACGGAAGCTGTTTGAGCCTGACATTCCCAGCTTTCCCAAACACCCTCTGGTTTGGAACAGAACTGACTTTCTTAAAGCAAACTCTCTTAATATGTGGGAGATCATTGGTGCTACCCAAGAGGTCACCAATCTAAGGTTAGCAGTCATGGCATTATAGCAGGACTCAGCTTGAGCAGTTACGTCCAGCAGTTGGTCCCTGGGGTGGATGGTGAGAGGTTGTGCCTGTGCCATTAGAGGCCCTGCAGTGCATGGTGCAGCACACAGTGTTATGTAGACACAATAAGACACTTTAATAAAGGAATCTAAGAGGACCTGTACGCTGTGCTGTTTACACAAGCTTGTTTGAAGTTGTGTGGACTTGAGAGATGGTACTGTATCCCCCGAGAAGCCAAATCAGAGCCCCCTGACCAGTGTTGAAGAAGAAGCTAGCAACCATCTGGTTTCACTCATGTGGGATATAAAGCTGAAACTCATTGACAAAACAGTATGGTGGTTACCAGAGGGAAGGGTGTGGGGAGTAGTAGAGGGTGAAGGAGCCAAATACTTGGTGACGGAAGATGATTTGACTTTGAGTGGTGGGCACACAATGCAGTATACAGATCGTGTATCATAGAAATCTACACTTGAAACCTATATACTCTTATTAACAAATGTCACCCCGATAAATTTAATTAAGGAAAAAAAAATTAAAAGATTGGCCTTGATTTCAAGAATAAACAGAGACTTCGTGAAGAATGGTTTAGGTTCCAGGCAGACCCAAGCCTGGAAAGGTCACTACCTTTACCTTTCCTCTCTCCCCTCTCTCCCCACCCCACGCTTCAGCTCCTGCTCTGGTGGGTTTATGTTTTAAGGTGAAAATCGAGGTCATGCAGAGCCCCTGTTCCCCACTGGCAGTGCCAGGAGCACCTGCTCGAACAGGTGGCAGCACGTGTCCCTCACCACCATGTTTCCACCAGCCCGAGAACCACTGCAGCAGCCCTCAGCAGGGGCGTACGCTGCTGTCCGTGATCGGGCCGAAGGAGAAACAGTTGTCGATTCCATTCACAGAGGAAAGGGTAGTTATCTTTGTTGAAAGAAATGTACGAAACTATTTTTGATTACTTATTTGCTTAGTGCTTTCTTGTATGTTTTACATTTTCTGTAATAAACATGTACTTTTACCAGAGAAAAAAATTAAGTGTTGCCACAAAACATTGAGCCTCACCAAAAAAGGAAATGATATTTGAAAGCTTCCTGGTCTGGTCATATTTCTATTAAAAGCACAGCTGGCTGTGCATTAGGTACCGAGGAGTCATTTCCTGCTTCGTTTTTTTGTGTTTTTTTTTTCCTTTTCCTACTCAGGAATTTTAATCCAAACTGCAACGTTTTTGGTTTTTTGGGTTTTTTTAATCTAACTTCAATTTCTAGCTCCACGTTTTATATCTATAAAATAAGGAGTTGAATGTGTCCAAGGTCCACTGCAACCATAAAATCCTGCTTTAAAAAATTAAGTTCTAACTAGCAGCATGTCATTAATACTTAGAAAAGGATTTTTGCCAGTAGAAAATTGCTTTAACTTATTTTTTGCTGACATAATACTTTACTTCTTAGTGTCTTATCAACTGGGTCTCATCTTAATTTTAATAAGCAATTATTTTAGCCCCCAACATTTGGCATTTTGTAATAAGCCAGCCGCTTATTTTATACTAGTCGTTCATTGTGAATATAGAATACAAGTGGTGGTCAAACCTGCCATTCCAAATAGAAACATTTGTTAAGACTTCAACTCAGAATTAAGTCTTCCCAAGAAGCTGGTCTGTTTTTCAAACCTCCTGCCCCAGTCTGTGAGACATGCTATTTTCACTCAGCTGGTCTACTTGAGCGACGCATCTATATTTTATCAACTTTTTAACATATTTATTGTTTGAAATCATTCTTGGACTTTGCTAAATTGAAAATAAATTGTTTCCTGATTTCCCAGACACATCCAACCCAATGTTGGATGAAACTTGCCTCAAGACATACATTTTGCTCTTGGAAAACAAATCAGGGTGTTGACAGGTAGTTCTGTAGCTTTTCCTATCCTCTGGCTCTTGCAGCAGTGACAGTTTCTGGCTATACCGTAATGCAACCATGTGCTGCAAGAATTTTTAAAACATGCAATATCTGACTCTCTAGTCAGGGACACTGACCCCTTTTCCTTTAGATTGTCAAACAAACAAAAAAAGCCAACACAACAATAGCCGTGTGGTGTGAATGAACCAAAATCATACCTATTTGTAAGACAGGCAAAAATATTTTTCGGTGTGCCGCAGAATTTTAGTAATTAGTTTATGTGTGGCATGAGATGAAAGGGGTTGAAAATCGCTGCTACAGTATGATTCAACTTTCATTTGGGGAAATAAAAACGAGAGAAAAGTGAAATAGAATGAAAGGTGAAGAGATGTTGGATGGTTAGTTTTGTGGAAGGTATAAAATTATAACATGGTCCTTCGTTACTGTTTATGCGAGTGTTAGGTAAGCTCAGTGTATTTGTGACTTAGGCGTACATGCTCCTTGGGGAGGAGCAGCTGCGTGTCATTCCTCCATCCAGAGAATCCTCCAGTCTCTGATGGCCGGAACACTTTATTTGAGAGGTTTTTCTCAAGACTTTGAAGTACTTTTCCTTTGTTCAGTTACTGCTGCTCTTGGCTTGCCTCAAATTCTATGCATTGTTTTCTGTAAAATACCATTAGGTGTTTTTGTGATGCTAGTTCCTAAGCAGTTCAGTGCCTTTAAGGAAACGAAAAAGGGAAAATAAGTCATTTGTATTTTTCTTTGGAAAAACATTTAATCCTGGGGCTCCCATGGTGAGTTGCAGCTAGTTTCAGGGTTCCTGCCTTGCATCTGTAGAATGACTTGGCACTTCCCAGTATCCAGGAAGTGACCTGATGACGTCGCCAAATATCACTTAAGCCTTTCATGTTTTAAAGCTTTTCCCTCCCTGAAAATTTGGGTGGTGGTTATAAAATTATAAAATACTGGAAAAATAATCCTAGAGGGGGCAACGTCCTGTGGCATGAGGAGGTGGGTGCTGCTTTTTCTGTCTGCTTTCTCAGCAGGTCACTAGCCCGGCCTTCGGGACCAGAGGGAAGGAGGCCTTCTGCTCTGCACAGAGGAGCAGTGTGGCTCCCAGAGAGTCCCCAGTGCACAGCTGGGCTGCTGCTCCGGAGCCCGTGCTCTGCAGCGGAGAACCTCTCCTGGGAGCCCCCTGGCCTCTGCTGACCAAGCGCGTTTATCCAGCGCTCTTGCAGGCAGAACTTCCACAGAAGCTACGGTGCCATGTGAGTGCCTGGATCCCACGAAGAAAATGCTCCCAGGAGCCCTAGACGCTCATAAGCACAGTTTCCTACTCTAAGCCTCCGGAGAATGTTGGGATAAATGAGAAATTAAAAGCTGAGGGACAGGGACACTGTTCGCCGCTGAAACCCTATGCTTAGTGCAATGCCTGGCACATGGAATAACGTCAAACACTTAGTAATGAACATTTAGCAGAATTACGGGTGGAAGCTGACCGATTTCTGATAGTTTGTCATTACATTTTAGGTCATAAGCCCTAGATGTCACCTTTTGTCCCCCCCAGCACTTTACTATGAAATTTTTCAAACATGCAAAAATGTTGAAAGAATTGTACCATGAGCATCCACTGCCTAGAATCCACAAATAACATTGTGTTACACGTTTGCCTTGTTACCTAATAGATGTTAACTCCTAACATCTTCCAGCTTGGATCGCTTAACATCTCACTGCTAAGGTAATTGAACAGTTTTAATGGAGTTGTCGTAAACTCTCTGGGAAGACTTGTATGTTGTAGGTGGAACTGTAGTCCACACTTCAAGCTAGTTTTAAACTCATACGTCTGTTATGCTGAATTTTAATCTTATTTATTTTGCCCAAAGCTGTGTTTCTTTTATGATGGATTTATCTGCAAGTCCTGATCAATTGTGCAGAATGTTCTAATGTTATTTTCACACTTGATAAACTATCCAATTCATTTCTCTGGTGAGAATGTAATTTGGGGTCCATTTTGCTTTTGCAAGGCCCCGGGATCATGTTCCCAGAGACTGAAGGGGCAATGCAGTTTAGCATATAAACCACAAAATGAGGAACGAAGACACTTGGATTTTGCTCCTGTCTGAAAGGGCGAATCAGTCTTCTTTGTCTTTGTAAAGTGGGGGCTACAATTTGAAATTTAGATACCATTAAGTAATGGGTAACATTTATTCATGCGTGGATCTATTAAGAGAGACACTTTATGAATCCAGGGAGCCTCTTATAATTTTTTAACTGTGTGACAAGCTATGGGGTGAAATGTGACCTTTGAAAAATCAAAGCTCATGGTGAAAGTTTTATCAGAAACCCTGCTGTTGCTTGGAACTGAACTGCCTCCGCACTTGTGAGCGGGTTACCCCAATCCAACTGGACTCAATGAACGTGTTTGGCGAGAGGGAGTGAATGCAAATTTGGGAGGACGGAAACACTAATCACACAAAGACTGAAACTCAAGTGTTCATTTTAAGAGCAGGTTGTATGGAAGGGGGTGGGGCTTCAAGGAAATGATCCCGATTTACTGCAACACACCCTCCCCGAGGTTCCCTCGCCGTCACCAGCACAGTGCGGGACACAAGCCCGGTCCTGCCGGCCTGTCTCAGCCTCAGGTGGCCTCCATCAGCTCTGCGCCGCCGACTTGCAGGGTGGCTGCGGGGTAAGCAGGTCCCTGTACTCCCTTTTGGAGATGTGTGGCCGGTGCTTTCTAATCGCAGACCGTGAATGTAGAGTCACGGTGGTCTCACAAAGCCACAGAGGAGTTTTTACTCTAGATCGCATCTCGGTAGCAGCTGCAGGGATGTGACCAAAACGGGGCGTGAATGGGACCTTATTGAATATGAATGAGAGAAAACAAATGCTGACACCATCAATCCCTCCCGTTTGTTGTTGATACTCTCTTATCAGCCTGTATATTGCACTCATGACTTTAGCCCAAAAGTACTCTGGATCAGAATGAGATATGTATGTATTAAAATATATGTGCGCCTCAGCGGTTAGAGCGTCAGCCTGCGGTCCGGAGAGACCCGGGTTCGGTTCCCGCTAAGGGCACGTACCTCGGTTGCAGTTTGTCCCCGGCCCTGGTTGGTCGTGCGGGTGGCAGCCACTCGATGTGTCCCTTTCACATCAATGTTTCTCTCTCTCCCTCTCTCTCTCTCTTTCTCTCCCTCCCACTCTATCTGTACAAAAAATGGAAAAATAGCCTCGGGTGAGGATTAAAAAAAATAATAATAAAATAAAATAAAATATATGTGCTATTCCAGGTGTTTTTAATAAAATAACTAGATTGCTTTGATTTTTGCTTTGTCTGTGTTCTATTTTGGAGACTGTAGCTCTGCATCGGGAGGGAGAGCGATGCCAGGCACTGGTTTCCACGTGAAATACACAGAACACTTGCTCCTTCCGGAGAAACAGTGAATGGGGACGCATTCTAGTCCATGGGCTAGGCCGTGGTTTCTGCCCTGGGGGCCTCTAAGGCTGCATTTTGTGAAACAAAATCAGGCCCAAAGAGAGA